AGGGCTTGAGCTCATGAATCTTGAGATCATGAGCTGAGCCAAAGTCAAGAGTTGGACGCTTACCAACTGAGACTTCCAGGAGCCCCTCAAATATATAGTTTAATCCTTACTTATTTCTTTATTTGTACATTGCTTGTTTTCTTCTGCTAAGATAAAAGTTCCAGGAAAGCAGAGATCATTCATTGCTTTGTTCACTAATATATCCCAAGCTCCTAGATGAATGAGTAGCATAAAGTCAGTGCACCATGAGTCTTCATCGAACAGTAAATACGGCCTTCCAAGGGAACTGGGAAGAGAGCCAAACTACCAGAACTATGAGGAATTTCAGTGCAGAGAGGAGACAGTTCACAAAGGATGATAAGGATGTTTTAGAAGTGGTTCTTGAAACTGCAGTCACAACAAAACAGAATACAAACAGACCAAAAGAAATTTGCACTCCTCTCAACTTCCTGTCTTTATCAGGTTTATTATATCAAAATCTTGACATTTTCAACATCAGCAGCAGCATTGTGAAATTACCGGCAAATGGAAAATATCTCAAGTATTCTCCTTTAGAAAAATTTACAGGTAGTTTTGCTAAAGTTTTATCGCGTTGATCCATTTGGCAAACGTTTTTTACATATCCATTAAATGCAAGGCTACACTGTTGATATAAGAATAATAAGGAAGTGGATCACATTAAAACTTTTCTTTCAAAAGATGTATAATTTCTCTGTAGTAACAAGCAATACAAATGAATAAAGACTGAAGGTTGTACATGCTCAGAATCAAAGCAGGGACTGTTCTGTGAATTTTGTGTTTTGCTACAGGAACCAGGGAAAAGTGGTTGGGTACCTGATGAGGGTAAGTAATTATTTATTATAAGTTTATAATGAGCTGGGTACTATCTTAGATATTGGGGAAGAAGAGAAAGAATGTCCCTTTGTCAACAAATTTCTATTTAATGGGGAGTACAAATAAATATGTGATCATTTTTTAGTAATTATAAATGCTATAAGTATACAATTGAAGATATTATTTTTTAAAAATTATTTAATGTTTACTTATTTTTGAGAGAGTGAGACACATGGTGCGAGGAAGGGAGGGGCAGAAAGAGAGGGAGACACAGAATCCGAAGCAGGCTCCAGGTTCTGAGCTGTCAGCACAGAGCCGGCCCTATGCGGGGCTCAAACTCATGAACCATGAGATTATGACTTGAGCCAAAGTCAGAAGCTTAACTGAGCCACCCAGGCGCCCCATTTTAAATAAGGAGGCCAGACAAGACCACAGTGAAGTACTATTTGAGCCTGTACCATGATGAAGTGAGAGAGGAAGACGTACAAAGATTGGGAGGAAGAGTGTGGAGTTTGGGGCAAAGGAAACAGCAAATACTACTTATTTTCAAATGCATACTCAGCAAATGGCAAGATTGTGTTCTTTTTTATGGCAGAGCAAGATTCCATTGTGTGAGTGTCTATGTCTATGATATATGTCTAGACATATATACTCCTCTTTATCCAGTCATCAATCTATGGACATTTGGGTGATTTCCATGGTTTGGCTCTTTTAGATAATGCTATTGTAAACATCAGAGTATGTGTATTCCTTCAAATCAGTATTTTTGTGTCCTTTGGATAGATATCTAACAGCGCAATTGCTGGGTCATTGGGTAGTTCTGGTTTTAACTTATTGAGGAGCGTCCATACTGTTTCCAGAGTGACTGCACCAGTTTGCTTTCCCACCAACAGTGGGGGGGGGGGGGGGGGGGGGGGGGGGGGAAGAGAGGCAAACCAGGAAAACAAGCTCTTAACTATAGAAAGGAACTGAGGGCTGCTGGAGCGGGGGTGGGTGGGGGGGATGGGTGAAATGGGTGATGGGTACTAAGCAGGGCACTTGTGATGAACACTAGGTGTTGTATGTAAGTGATGAATCACTGAATTCTATACCTGAAACTAATATTACATTGTATGTTAACTAATTGGAATTTAAGTAAAAACTTAAAAAAAAATACACACTGTGTTTTCACGCATCCCAATAATTAATCAGTTCGTCGTGATGTTTTGTGCTTTCTAAATCTGCTTGCAAAATTATAACTTGGATATTTCCAAGTGACATTATTCATGGCAGAAAGGAAAAGAAGGAAGCCTACCTTGGTATATCAATGGGTGTTCTTTAAAGCTCTATTTATGCTACTAAGTGGGTATTGGAACAATAACAAAATATGGGATGCCATTAGTGGAATACTTTTATAGTACATTTTCATCAAGAAATTATCATTGAATAATTTCCGCTCTGCAGAAATAATCTGAGATGATATAGCTTAAGAATAAAAAAGGCTTATCGATGTAATTTTTAAAAGTTTAATGGCGGGGCGCCTGGGTGGCTCAGTCAGTTAAGCGTCCGACTTTGGTTTCTGCTCAGATAATGATCTCGTGGCTTTGAGCCCCACATAAGGCTCCGTGCTGGCAGCACAGAGCCTGCCTGGGATTTTCTCTCTCTCCCCTCTCTCTGCCCTTGACCACTTGCCCTCTTTCTGTCTCTCTCAAAATAAAATTAGAAAAACTTATTTTAATTTTTTTTTTCAACGTTTATTTATTTTTGGGACAGAGAGAGAGACAGAGCATGAACGGGGGAGGGGCAGAGAGAGAGGGAGACACAGAATCGGAAACAGGCTCCAGGCTCTGAGCCATCAGCCCAGAGCCCGACGCGGGGCTCGAACCCACGGATCGCGAGATCGTGACCTGGCTGAAGTCGGACGCTTAACCGACTGCGCCACCCAGGCGCCCCATAAAAACTTATTTTAAAAGTTAATGTTTTTTTCTTTTGAAAATATTCAAGGAAACAAAAAGCCCTTGAGCCAATGTTAGAAGCCTCAAAACAAGATCCACAAGAACTGCTAGCCATGCTGATTGTTTTTTTCCGTCCCAAATGTATTTCTTGGCCAAGGGTTCTGTGTGCAGCCTGGAAAACGCGACTAATGTGGCTTGGTCTTTGTCCTGAAGGGCCAGAACATTTAATGGACAGGGAATCCCTGACTTCCAGTCTTATTAATTTGAGTCCTCTACAATATAATAATATTTATAGAATATTATATTTCTCTATCAATCCACTTGCTAAGACAACTGAGTCATTAATAGGAACTTATGAAAAGTGTGATAGTTGGTAAAATGAACATTTGAGTAAATACCCTCGTCAAAATTTCACCTAACAAAAAATATATCCTTACAAAATTCTACACATATTCTGTTGTTATAACTCAGTTTCCTTTATTATGAAAATGCTCAATGTATCATGTAACAGTTCCCTGGGGGCGGGGCGCTTGGGCATGCACACACATGTGGACCGGTATGTGCGTTCAGGTAATTTTGCGGAAGACTTGGACCCTTTGCAGAAGGCTGCATTCTCTGCATTGGGCTTACTGCTTTAATTGGTGTCACTTGGCTTGTTCCTGCCCTGGGTTTTATAAACTGACACCTCAAGAAGCTTTATTAGTTCCGATTCATTCTTTTAGCTTCCCTTCCGCAAGCATTGTTCAGACGTGGTTCTGACTCCTCCCGTGGCATTGGATCACAAAAGCACCTGTTAACTGATCGTCTTCTAGGGATCCTCGGTCCCATCTGTGGATGCAGGTCCTGTCAGCTAGATCACCTCATTTTAGCATTCCCCACCAACATTTTGCATAATGATTTTAACATTTCTTGAAACCATTGCCTTGGTGCATGTTTTAACATTAGGAGTTCTGAAAT